TGTCATAGATCCAGGACTGACTGTGGAGGGGACCTGTGCTTCAAAGTGGCATCCTAGGATGAGAAGTGAGAGAGGGCCCTGGGCTGTGTAATCAGCAAGGACAAAATGCAAAAGTAAGCAGCAGCTGGATGGCTCAGACATACGGAACAGAGTAGGGTCTCAGTTCCCATTTCTAGGTCCGTGTAAAACCTACAGAGGAATAACAAGGACAGGAATCGCAGAGCAAAGGGAAGCCTACTCTTCTGTCCCTCCAAATCAGCAGAGCTTACCAGAGAGCTAACAATAGCTACTAGCTAGTACTACTGGAACGCTCAATGGGGTAAGCCCACAGGTCTGTTGCTCAGACTTAAACCCAGGTCAGAAACTTGCGGAGATCAGACTAAGAAGGCAGCAGCGGCAGCAGGACCAGCCCAGACATTCCCTGTAGAAGAACAAAGAGTCTGTCCCTAACATAAAGTCTGAAATCAAGAAGCAGGTTGGTAAAATGAGCAAGCTCAAATAAAAATAACAAAATACAAATAAAAAGCTATTATGGTGACAGAGATGCTTAAGACACAAATCCAGAAGAAGAGAATAACTTCAAAAGAGCCACAAGAAAAGTGTCTAAGAAAAACACAGCTTGGGCACAAAATAAATTAGAATTCATGGAAGGGTAATAATAAAAGTTTTTTTAATCGTATGATTGTATCAATAGATGCAGAAAAAGCTTTTGATAAAGTACAACACCCATTTCTATTAATAAAAAAAACAGTGGAAAGTATAAGTATAAATGGATTTTCCCTTAAACTGATTTTTAAAAAAACATTTAGAATAAAACCATCAGCAAGCATTATTTGTAATGGGGATAATCTAGAAGCCTTCTCAGTAAGATCAGGTGTAAAACAAGGATGGCCAACATCATGAATTTTATTCAATATTGAAAATCCTAGCAATAGCAATGAAAGGAGAAAAAGAAATGGAAGGAATCAGAATAGAGAAAATGATCTCTTTCGCAGATAATGTGATGATATACTTGGAAATCTCAAAGACTGAACTAAAAAATTAGTTGAAATAATCAATAATTTTAGCCAAGTAGCAGAATATAAAGTAAATCCACATAAATCATCAGCATTTCTATATATATCACAAACAAAACCCTGCAAGAAGGGATGGTAAGAGATACACCATTTAAAGTGACTCTGAGTCTAAACAGTATAAAATACTTGGAAGTACACCTGCCAAAACAAACCTAGGAACTTTAGAAACAAAATTCATTTAAAAAAAACTTTTTATACAAATAAAATCAGATTTAAATAATTGGAGAAATATTAATTGTTCATGGATAGACAGGGCCAATGTAATAAAAATGACAATTTTACTTAAACTAATTTATATAGTCAATACCATCCCAATCAAATTACCCAATTAAATTCTGTGTGTGTCTGTGTGTGTGTGTGAGATTTAGATAATCCACTATGGCACTTTGCTAGTAAACCCTTTCTAAAGTGAATATTGCTTCTTTTTTGAATGGCCAAAGGTTCCACTAGAATTGAGGCAGAGCCTCAGTTAGCCTTGACTGAGTTCACATGGAAATGCCCCAAACCCTACATTCTTTCCTCTGCAGGAAGGCAATGCATCAGGCTGATCCTTCAAGGAGCAGGCCTCACACAAAGTAAGCACTTAAGAAATACTTGTTGACTATTAACTCAGTTGCTTGACAATTGATCTATTTTACTGAATTAAAAAAAATAATAACAAAATTCATTTGGAAGAACAAAAAGTCAAGAATACCAAAGGAATGAATAGAAAAATATGTAGAGGAAGGAGGTTTAGCAGTACCAGATCTTAAACTATATTATAAGGCAGTAATTATCAAAACTATCTGGTTCTGACTAAGAAATAGAAAAGTAGATCAATGGAACAGAATAGACATACAATTTACAGCACCAAATAAATATAGTAATCTTGTATTTGACAAGTGAAAAGACTTAACATTTGGGGATAAGAATTCATTATTTGGCAAAAATTATTGGGAAAACTGGAAAGCAGTCTCGCAGAATCTGGGAATAGACCAGTATCTTACACCGTTTACCAAGATAAGGTCAAAGTGGATACATGACCCAGATATAAAGAGAGATATTACAAGAAAATTTGAAGAACATGGAACATATCACTTACCAAACTTATGGATAGGTGACCAATTTATGAATAAACAAGAGGTTGAGAGCAGAGTGAGGTGTAAAATGGGTAATTTCAATTACATTTAATTAAAAAGGTTTTGTGCAGATAAAACAGATGTACCCAAGATCAGTAGGAAAGCAGAAAATTGGGGGAGGGGGTGGATATTGTAGGCAATTTCTCAGATAAAGGTCTCATATTGCAAATATATAAAGAACTTTGTAAAGTCTATAAGAATGTGAGTCATTCCCCAATTGATCAAAATGGTCAAAAAATATGAGCAGGTAGTTTTCCGATGAAGAAATCAGAACAATTTATAGTCACATGAAAAAAATACTCTAAATCAGTATTGATTAGAGAAATGCAAATTAAAACAGTCTTGAGATATCATTTTATACCCATCAGAGTGGCTATGATTGAAGGAGAAAGTAACAAATGTTGGACGGGATGTGGAAAGATTGGGACACTAATTCATTGTTGGTGGAATTGTGAACTGACCCAACCATTTCGGAGAGCAATCTAGAATTATACCGAAAGAGTTATTAAACTACCTATACCCTTTGACCCAGTAATTCCACTACTAGGTCTATTTCCAAAGATGATTAGAGAAAAGGAAAATATCTTCTAAAATATTTATAGTAGCTCTCCTTGTGATGACAAAGAGCTGGAATTGTGGGGATGCCCGTCAATTGGGGCTGAACAAGTTGTGGTATGTGATGGTGATGGAATGCTAGTGTGCTGTAAAAAATGAGCTCAAGGATCTTAGAAAACCATGGGAAGACTTGCACAAAAAAAAATGAAAAGGAAAATGAGCAGAACCAAGAGAATATTGTTTACAGTAACAGTGATACTGTTTTAAGACTGACTTTGAGCAAATAAGTCATTTTCAGTATTATAAACACTCAAATTAATAACAAAAGACATATGAAGGAAGATGTTGTCATTATTCAGAGAAAGAACTGATAAATAGATGTATGTATAGAATGATTTTACATAGATATGCATATCTATGTCTAATGGTAGCCATTGCTAGGGAGCAGGAAGAAGGAGGGAAGAAGAAAAGGAAAAAAAGAAATTTACATGATAATTTTATTATATATTTAAAAGTAATAGCGAATTGTAAATAATAGATATTCAGTTTTGTGTGCAATTATCTTTTTTATTATACTATATTATGGAAATTCTTGTTTTATTCCATCAATTAAAAATAAAAAAAGAATTCATGGAAGAGATGAAACAAGAGGTGTTTTCTTCCCTTGAATTTTATCCAAATTTTAATGAGCTGTTCTTTTTTTTTAATTTTTTTAAATTTTTTTTTTGATTGGGCAATGGGGGTTAAGTGACTTGTCCAGGGTCACACAGCTAGTACGTGTTATGTGTCTGAGGCTGGATTTGAACTCAGGTCCTCCTGAATCCAGGGCCAGTGCTCTATCTACTGCACCACCTAGCTGCCCCTTAATGAGCTGTTCTACAGTTTGTTGCTGGTTCAATATGGGGTGTGTGTGTGTGTGTGTGTGTGTGTGTGTGTGTGTGTGTGTGAGAGAGAGAGAGAGAGAGAGAGAGAGAGAGAGAGAGAGAGAGAGAGAGAGAGATTTAGATGATCTACTATGGCACTTTGCTAGTAAACCCTTTCTAAAGTCAATGTTGCTTCTTTTTCTGAATGGCCAAAGGTTCCACTGGAACTGAGGCAGAGCCTCAGTTAGCCTTGACTGAGCTCACATGGAAATGCCCCAACCCCTACATTCTTTCCTCTGCAGGAAGGAAATGCATCAGGCTGATCCTTCAAGGAGCAGGCCTCACACAAAGTAAGCACTTAAGAAACGCTTGCTCGTTGACTATTAACTCAGTTGCTTGACGATTGATCTATTGACGCCAGGAGACTTCCTGACACACAAAGCTCGTTAAAGAAAAAGCTCTGCTGTTCCCTTAGGGTGGTTCCGCAGCTGCCGTTGGTGGAATCCACAGCTGCCCATGAGCCCAAGGACAGGGTCTGGCTTCCCACACCAACAACAGCTTCCTACTTGTATGACCTCCCGTGAGTCCCATTTCCTTCTCCAAAGCTCCGTTTTCTCCCCTGTAGAATAAGAGCTTCGGTCTAGACGAGCCCTGAGGTCTCTTCCAATTGACTGGGAGCTCCCGAGGACAAGGAGCTAATCCCAAGGGACTCACTTTTGTCTTCCTTTGTATCCTCGGTGATACAACACGGTGCCTGGTACACAGTGGTGCTTAATAAATGCTTGTTGACTGACTGTCAGTGAAAGGATCAGGCACACTTTGGTTCTTACTTCTTTGGTCCATCGCCCTTACCGAGGCATGCTGGGATGATGTGCCTGGGCCCCCTGGGTCTGTGGAATCCTGCTGCCCATGGTCAGTCCCCGTACAGTAATAAAGAAGTGAGCTGATTGGAAGTCCAGAGAAAACAACCCAGAACCCTCAGGAGCAGAGAGGCCACGCAGGGAGTTGCCTTCTTGCTCCAGTCTCTGGGATATTCATCTAAATCCCAGCCCCCTCGGTTGGGGTCCTCCTGCAGTCCCTGTGTCTAGAGGTTCTAGATCTAATATCCTTAGAGGTTCTCATCCTCTACCTTCCCTTTCCCAGCTTCTACCCTCCTTACTGCCAAACTCGAGGTGCCAGGCCCCCGCTCTGGTCCTTGGGCACCATTGCTGGAGATGTTGAGTGGGAAGCACATAGCGGCTCTCTGAGGTTGAGGGAGGAAAGAAGGGGATGGGGGGGGTGGGACTTGGAGAGTGGAGAATGTCCCAGGGCATGTTCTTCCTGTAGAAGAAGGTCCTGAACTCCAAGGTCTCACCCTAATTCTCCAGACACAGTGAAGGGAAAGAAACCAGGGTTCTGTACGGTCTTTATTTCTCGGCAGGAGTGTTAAGAATCTGCGGGTGTGGTTGGAGAGATGAGCAGTGCCCAGGGACCCCCAGAGCATGTGGTGCAGACGGCTGCAAATGATGGTGAGAATGGTAAGCAGGAAAGTGATGGGCACCTGCTGACTGGCAATGATGATGTAACGGGGATGGAGTTGGCAATGAGGTATGGAGATAATGAAGACATGGATGCTGCTGCTAGTGGGATGGAGAGGTCAGCTAAGGGGGTGGCCAGTGGCTCGGGGTGGTCTCTGGGCTGATAATCCCCAGCTCATAGGAAGGGGGAGAAAGGGGCCTGTGGACAGGTTGGTGTGTACAAGGGAGGGGGCTGGCTGCCCCTGGTGAGGCAAGTGAGTCTGACCGGCTGTATGAGGGCCAAGAAGCTGGCTCAGACCAGAGCAGAGGCCGTTACCAGCAAAGGACCCCGGGGCAATACTTGTCAATGAGGCCCTGGTAGTATGGCCGAAGCATGGACACATCTGGCAGGTCCTCTGACTTGGTGTAGAGATCAAACTTGCTGTAAGAGATACAGAGATGGGGGTAGTGGGCATGGGCATCCCGCTGGAAGGAAAGGAGAGCCTCTGCCCCTACCCCTCACCTCTCAGCCTCTCAAGGCTGATCTCTCAGCCTTGGGTTCCCCATACCTCCCTTTGCTTCTGTCCCAGCTAAAGGCTTGAGCTTTTGCTTAAGGCCAGCCAAATTCTGCTAAGATATTAATGGCTGATAATGGCTTCATGGGGCTCTCCCCAATCTTTGTACTTCGAATGTTCCTGGCACAGAAGCCTGTCAAACAAACATTTGTTCCACAGATGAAGGAATGAATGATAGTAGGGGCCTTTGATGCCCTCACCCAGCCGCATGTGTCCCTCGGGAGGCTCTCAGACTGACAGGCAGGAACGTCTTGGGAACCAGAGGGCTACAGAGGAGTCTGGGGTTGGTCAGAGGAGCAGCCATGCTCTGCACCTCGGGCTTCCTCCTGCCCTTTGGTCTCTGGCTCTGTCTTGCTTGTCTGCCCTTTGCCAACTCCTCAGGCCCCACCTGAGCCTGGTGGAGAGGCCTTGGCACTACCTAGAACTCAGGACATTGGCCAGGGGAGCCCAGGAGGCTTTGCCTTGCCATCCTCAGCTCTGTCCTGGCCCAGGAGGGAGTAAGAACTCCTCAGAGGCAAAGAGTACTGGCTCTGGAGACAGAGGACTTTCTGCCTCTGTCACCTGCTACCTATATGACCCTGGCTAAGTCACTTCCCTTCCCTGATTCTCAATTTCTCCATGTGCTAAATAAGGAAGCTGAACTTCCTTCCAGCTCTGGAGCAATGAGCCCATGGAGTCACTTAGCCCCTGCCTCAGTTTCCTCATGTGTAAAATGAGGAGGTTGAGCTCCACAGTTTCTGAGGTCTCTAGCAGCTCTGCCTCCCACAGGGCAAACTGGGAAGGTGTCACGGCTTAGCTCTTCCGACCAGCTTTGGATTGGAACCCGGGCCACATGAGTCCAGGACCAGTGAGTGACCTTTCCGTCACATGCCTGCCTCCCTACTTGCCCAAGATTGCACCCTTGCAGGTCTCTGAACTCCAAGGCCAGGCCTCTCTCTGGGGCTCACACCACCACCCCTCCACTAGACTGGAAGCTCCCTGAAGTCAGAGCCTATGCCATTCTTCACACCCGCATCCCCAACACCCAGTGAGGTGCCCTGTACACAGTAGGCACCTTGCACTTATTTATAGAAGAGAGTCCTCAGTGGGTCCTGGACCAGGGTAGGGGAAGAGTAGGGCCTGAGGACGGGCTCCTCCCTTACTGAGGACCCCCAAGCCTGATCCAGACTGGCCCCTGCTGCTTCTTCTGGCCTAAGGAGAGACAAGAGGCTCATCCCCCACATCCTGCCGGGGTATCCCTTGAGCTACTTGGAGGGGTAGCGCTGAGTTCCTTTCCCCAGCCCTTACTTGAATTCTTGCACCCAGGGCAGCATGCTGAGGTCATGGGGGCAGCAGAGGTGCCGATAGTCGCCACCGGTGTGCCAAGGGTAGAAGGAATGGAAACGGATCATGTAGAAGGCCTAGACCGGGAGGGAGGAAGGAATTATGTCCCCTTAATTGCTTTCCTTTCTAGCCCAGATCCTGGCCTCCAGGCCCCCATTGAGCCTTGGGAAAGCCAGGCCCTGGCCTCACCAGGTAAGTTCCCACCCCCAGGCCACCCTCAGGACCTGGCATATGCCAGGCTCTGCCAGGCATATGCCTGCTCCAATTCACCATCAATCTTTCCCACACTCTGGTCAAGGTCCCCAGTTAGCCTGAGCCCAGCATGTCCCAGCCCCATGGGCCTATGGCTCCCTCCTCTCAGAGGTGACTGGTGGTCAGAGCCTAACATTGGGCAGCTAGGAGCCTTGCAGTGTTAGCAGCCGAAGGCTGGGGAGTGGACACTTTGACCCCACTCACCTCCGGAGGCAGGGAGAATTTGTTGAACTTCATCATTCGATACATGTACTCTGTAGAAGAAGAGATGGTCACAGGCCTGGTCACCACCCCACCCAGCACCCAGAAGCCATCACCCCAAGAGAGATCCCACAAGACTGCATTCTACAGAACCTGTAACCCCTTTCCCCAGGAGCCCACAGACAGCACGTGGGGCCCTGGGTTATGAAAGGGGAGTTGGGGTTCATTGTTTTCATTTCGGGGCTCCCCACCAGCTCCTATGTGATTGGGGGAGGGAAGAGTCTTTGGAGAGGAGAGGAGGAGGGGAGGCAGTGGAGACTAAGGGTAAAGATCTCACCATCATGGCCCCAGGACATCAGTACGTTCTCCAGGCCACAGTGGGGCTCATACATTCCATAATCAGTGCTGGAAAGTCAAGGTTGTAAGGAGGGATAGGGAGAAGGGCAAAGGCCTAGGGGGGAGGGAGAGTCCACTTTGGTTCTTGTACAAGTGGAGGGGTCTCTGGGTGGGGAGATTTGGGGGAGGGGTCTGGACGAGAGATCTCTCACCAGGAGTGGGAGGAGGGAAAGGGGGCAGGGCTAGGTGGAGCTCATACATATCTCTAATCACAAAGCAACATTAGCCAAAGGGTCTGTGTGTGTGTGTGCTGGGGCGTGAGGGGGGATTCTTTGCACAAGAGATCTCTGGTGGAGAGACTGTCTGTATGAAAGATCTCTAGGAAGGGTTAAATGAGAGATCTCTGGGATGAGGGGGAGGGGAGGTTCCGAGGCAGGGGCTTATTTAACAGGGGAGCTCTCTGGGCTGGGGGGGTGAGTCACCAGTATCGAGGGTCCTTGGTGTCAGGATTATCCTGAAA